GATCATTTCCAACGCACTCGCTTTTGTTTGTCACAGTATTCTGTATTTTTTACTTTGTCTTTCGTTTTATTTTTTAGCACTTCAAACTGATCCCTATGTGATAGCAAGAAATCCAGTAAAGATTTAAAAAGTTTATTGGCTGACTATGTTTCAACTTGAAATGATTTGCTGACTTAATTGAATCTTTCTAGCACGACATCCAGAAGTTTGCCGAGAAAACTTTTCAACGTTGGTAGTTGCTTGAGTATAGTATTTGCTTTACTACGTACGTCAGCCTTTTAATTTCCATCTTCTGAGATTAACTTAAAAGCCACTTAAAAACAGATGTAGCCTAGAGACAAGACTTTGATGGCGTAGGTTCTTGTAGACCATCTATTATCTGATGCTCGTTTAAATGCAAATGTAGATTCGTGTCCAGTTCTCTTTGTATGAGACCAAAAAATAAAACTGTTCCAGTACAGCTTTCCACAGCATATGCACGTGCCAAATTAAGTGAGTATGCAACACATGGAGTGAAATGTGCAAGATGATTGATATTGGTAATATGTTTGAATCCCTTTGTAGCATCCTGACATTTTCGATGTGTTCTGATAAGAATGCCCTCTTGGATCAGGTACATCAATTCCCATCTGTTCAAAAATTTTAAGACAACGTTAGTGAGAGCTTATCCTGTGTGACTTTCAGTAGAAATCAAATTGAGAAAACATTCAACAACCTTATTATCTGATATTCCAACATTGCGAAAAACTACATTCAGCTGAACAATGTGAGAATTATCTGGTGTTGAATCAGCATTTAGAGAAAAGTATTTGGTTTCTTGATTTCTTCTACAGTGGTTTTCAATACTTTATCTTCTATGATTCCTATGACTTATAATATTCCTATGACGCATATTGTTGAAGATAGATATGAAGCTTTTCCTCGTTCATGATTACCACATTTTGCTATATGAGAACTAAGAAAAAGATCATATTCAGCAAGTAATTCAAGTATCCCGATGTCATTCTTCTGAGAATTAAGTACTTCTGCATCAACCACAAAATGCTGATCCAAGAGATGAGAGAAACTTTTTAGTTGAAACTAGTCTCTATAATGCATTTGCCCAGTATTCTTCTTCCTTTGTGAATTGGATTTCAAACACTGAATCGATTCTTTCAAGTGCTTTTCGTCTAGAAATCCATGTCATCATAGAGGTTCGATGTCTAGAACTGTTTTCCTGTTCTCTAATCCGAGTAGAGGCATGTATCCAGTCTGAAAATCCACCCAGTAAACTGTGTTTTGGACCAATGTATACCATCAAAGAGAACGCAAGCAAAGCAATATAATTTCTTGTTGAGGGTGACTACATTAACTATTCCCTCTCAATTCTACTATTAGTTATATGCTTTTGGAATACCAGTGGAAATGTTTTCTAATCAGAGTATTGTCGGCTTTCGGATAAAGAAAATTCCTCATCGTAATGCTGGCATTCCAGAAGTCCTTGTTTACCACAAACGTCACGTACCTCCTTTGATATATTTGGGTTTGTCCACAAGCCAATTCGTCTTGATACTCAGATCTCGACTTCTATCTTTTGGTGGACAAGCTCAGCATCCTGTGGCATTGGCTTCATCAGAGACAAGAAATTATAGTGCCTCCATCATTTTACCATCATTGGATGTTGTTTGCTCTGTCTGCTGTTCTGCTGCTGGCTTGCGTTTAAAGCTAACATCAAATAAGCTTAAGGATTGACTGAGTATTCTTCATGCTTTTGCGTCTTCGCCTGTTGTCTTTTTTTGCTTGTTCCACTCCCAAACTTCTTCTTCTCCGAAGTTATTAATCTTAAAGGGCGAAACAAATGGTAAATATTGATTTAACTGAATTATATTTATTCAACTTTCTGGCTGACACGACTCAACGGAACCAGCCAAGGGCACAAATAAGAATGCAGTTTGCCGAAGCATACGAAATGGTGAGCTTAGAGCGCCTCTGACTGAGAGAGGCACTGATCGAAACCAGAACTGATGCAGATCTGAGTAGGCTTTAGCTGAAAACTAAGTAGTACAAATGTGTTCAGCATATTAATTGAACCCTTTCTTAATTGGATAGTTTAGAGCACTTACCTTTTGATTCATCATTCAAAGCACGAAAATACATTTCACTGGCGCAGGTCCCTTGGTTGCAACATCTAAAGCCCATGCCTTAATCCGCACCTGTGTGTAGGTGGGAGGGTGCCTTTGATAGATATAATAAAAGCGAATTTTTTTCTTCGGAAACAGTTAATGAGAAAGTTCAGAGGGAAAGTATATTTAGCACTGCCCTCATGAAAGCCTTTATCTATAAGATAAATAAAATGTCTGGAATCAAAACTAGCTGAAACGACGGGAAGTGTGATATCTAAAATCAGTGCTTCCTCATTTAGATGCCAAAAACAATTGCTGCGGGTCATCCTGTTTCAGTTGTTTGCTATAATCGATGGAGCAGAACTAAGAGTACCTTTCAATAAGGTGGCCAATGTCCTTATAAACCTTATAATCAGACCTGCCCAAGTCAGCGAAAATTTCAGTGAATCCATGCTACTGACTCTGACTAGCCGTCGCATCGAAAGTGAATAGTAAGGACAAGAAATGCTTCTGTATATAAGTCAGTTGAAACAATGAAAGTGTGGTCGATCTCCAGTTCTCTTAATCACCGATTACATGAGAAAGACTCGAACCAGCAACGTGAAGTTATTGGGGACGCAGCAACGAAATCTGAAGAAGTTGTTCGGCTTTGTTCAAAGTTATGTATCCGAATCGCAAAGTGGCCTAAAAGTTATTATTTACTGGTAATGCTTCTGAAAAAGGAATTCACTTCACTATGTTTCAGTTAACAAGAAGTGAACCGGAGAGACTGGCTTTTACAAACCAAACAGCCAGCTCATTTTAGATATTCATTTTCATTTAAAGCAGCATTTAGCTTTTCATACGATCCGGAATCAAACAAACATTCGGTTAATAAAAATTTTGTTATCAAAACATCTCATACTTTGGTTGATTTGAACAAAACAGGGAAATGACTCCATTTTTTGGACAGTATTAAACTGATGAGCATCGTCAGAAGAAAATGACAATCATCAACAGCGCAAACCAATGAGAAAGCGAATCACGCAGGTAAACGCCAATTGGCTGAGGGATTAGCGGCGAAATTGGAAAGCAACTATCTGGTAGCTACCCGGGCAACATCATGGCTATGTTTCATCTAAAAGTTTCTGGCATCTAACCGTCTGCCTATTAAGCGTTTAATCAGAAATGTCTAACAGACGCTAAGGTCTGTAAATGGATGTTTTAGTTCATCTAGTTAAACAACGACAACCTTAAGGAAGCTGAGAATGATCGAGAATGAGTTGCTGTATTTTAAAATCTGTGAAATACACATTGGAAACAATCAACAATTCACACTACCGTATTCTGACCACTTTGCATATTAAATCGTGAGTCTCTTACGAAAATCATTGTATATTGCCATATATATTCGTATTAAATAGAAGAATTCACGGTTTGTAGCGAGAACATCAATCCGAAAGGTGACCGATGCGAAACACGGTCGTTCGGTGAGTGCTACATGTTTGCTATTGGCTTTATTATCTGGAAGGTTCGCTTTCAGAGTAGCCAAAGAAAACTCAAACGCAAAGTCAAAGCGATTCGCATTTAATTGCATAACCAATTTCATTCTTATGTAACCCTCTTCAAACTTACTAATACGACGAATTTCGCATAGCTGCTAATTTTCCAAGAAAAAACCGGAAGAATCAATCAAAGCTTCGAGCTCACCATGGGTGCGGGGAGGGCGAAGCATTGACTACAATTATATCTGACCAACCT